TTTATCATTTTAGATTTTATATTTAGGTCTCTGATTCATTTTGAGTTAGTTTTTATGTATGGTGTGAGGTATTGGGTCTTGTTTCACTTTTTTGTAGATGGATATCCAGTTATGCCAGCACGATTTGTTAGAGACTGTCTTTTCCCCAATTAATGGACTTTGGGCCTTTGCCAATTATCAGCCGCTCAAAGGTGGATGAATTTACATCTGGATTCTCAATTCTGTTCCATTGGTCTACGTAGCTGTTGTTGTATCAGTACCAGGCTGTTTTGACTGTGACGGTGGTATAACAGGCTCTAAAATCAGGTAGTGTGAGTCCTCCCCCTTTGTTCTTCTTCAGTAATGCTTTGCCTATCGGGGTCTCTTCCCTTTCCCTATGAAGTTGGTGATTTGTTTCTCCATCTCATTAAAAAATGCTGTTGGAATTTGGATCGGGATTGCATTTTATCTGTAGACTGCTTTGGGTAGAATTGACATTTTCACAATGTTGAATCTTCTATCCATGAGCAAGGTATGTTTTTCACTTATGCACGTCTCTTTTGGTTTCTTGCAGTAGTGTCTTGTAGTTTTCATTGTATACATCTCTCGTTAGATTTATTCCTAAGTATTTGATCTTCTTGGGGGCTATCGTAAATGGTATTGATTTGGTGATTTCCTCTTCGAAGTTCTTTGTTGGTGTAAAGGGATCCAATAGATTTTTGTATGTTTATCTTGTATCCTGATGCTTTGCTAAAATTTTATATTAGTTCCAGTAGTTTTCTTGTAGATTCTTCGGGGTTTTCTGTGTATAAGATCATACCATCTGCAAATACAGATACTTTGACTTCTCTACCAATTTCGATGCCCTTTATTTCTTTTTCTAGTCTAACTGCTCTGGCTAGGACCTCCAGCACGATGTTGAATAAGAGTGGTGAAAAAGGGCATCCTTGTCTGGTTCCCGTTTTCATGGGGAATGCTTTCAAAGTCTCTCCATTTAGAATGATGTTGGCTGTTGGCTTTGTATAAATGCCCTTAATTATGTTGACGAATTTCCCTTCTATTCCTATTTTGTTGACAGTTTTTTATCACAAATGGGTGTTGGAGTTTGTCAAATGCCTTTTCTGCATTAATGGATAAGATCATGTGGTTCTCGTCTTTTGGTTTATTAATGTGATGGATTACATTGATTGTTTTTCTTTTTCAGGCCAAAGAAATTCTTGACGTCTATATACTTTGTAATCTTCCGTGTCTCATTTCATTTTCATGGAACATATTTTCCCTTTAAGTTCCTCATTTAAAAAGCAGGTTAACATTCAACGTTTGCATGACAATCACTAAGGCCATCATTATTTAAGAGGCACAAGTAATTTTTTCATTGACATAGTTATTTTCACTCTATCATTTTAGTATTTGTTTTTCCCCCCTTTTTAAACAGATTTCAGTTACATTTTCATTGGCAGCAAAAGTGTTGTAGCTGATTACACATGGTTTGTAAACAGAGTTGAAATCAATTTACTGTTGCATTTATTAAATCTGGTAACTTTTGGGGGGATCTTTTAAGTAGACAATATCATATAAATAGTTCACACATAGAATATTTTTAGAAGACAACTTAAACATGTATTTAAACATTCAATGACGTTGATGTAGTTGAGACAGCAGAGGACAACATGTTTTGTTGATTTCTTTTGCATAATGTGAGGAAAAAATAACTTTATTGTATGAAATCAGTATGAATGGGTAAAAACTTACCTCACATTATTTTTGAGATGATTCATACACAATTTAAAGCAATTATCTCAGAAAGATGAGAGCGGCAATGTTAGGTGATAAATGTGGATATGATAAAACGTGTACTATACACCACTTTTTTTTCTTTTTAGTGCTAACTAAACCTTGGGAATGGACTGATTAGCAATGACTTATTGAAAGCCACCCATATCAAATCTTCTGTGGAGTCCTTGGGTGGTACAAATGGTTAAGTGCTTGACTACTAGCTGAAAGGTTGGTGGTTTCAAATCCAGGTGCCTTGGAAGACAGGACTGGCAATCTTCTAAAAAGTCATAGCCTTGAAAACCCTGAAGAGCAGTTCTACTCTGCACACATGGGGTCGCCATGAGTCAGAATCAACTCAATGGCAATTAATCACCACCACCACATACTTTAGCAATTTCTATCTCATAAGATAGATGTATGGATTTCATGAGTTAATATCAGGGCTTCTGGTTCAAACCCCAGCGGAGACTTTGCGTTTCTAACAAGTAACCAGGCAATGCTAATGCTGCTGGTTAGGGACCAATTCCGAGAACCACTAGCAAAGCAGTGGTTCTCAAAATGTATTACACATAAGAATGACCTGGGTACCTTGTTAAAACGTAGTTTCTGATTCAGCATATCTGGGGTGGAAATGCAAATTCTCAGCAGGGGTTCGAACCAGACAGGTTCAAAGCCCTGGTTAATATATAAAATGCTTAAATCAATACATGGCATATAGAGAACCTTATACGAGTGTTTCCCACTTCTATGGCTATTACTACTGTTTCCCCAAAATATTTTTCTCTAATCAAATCGTATGCTACTATTGATTCTCTTTTCAGTATCATGCTGGACATGCAGTAAGTGCTAAAAACACTTACTAATAAACACACTCAGGACTAACGTTGTTCACTACACAGACATCTTCGGACCATCTGCAAATCTGCTTTCCTAAGACAATGTGCGGAGGAGGACAAACCCGTTGCCACTGAGTTGATTCCGACTCATAGTGACCCTAAAATAATGAATAAAAATACATGGTCTCTATCCTTAAGTTGTTTATAATTGATCAAAGAAGTTTTCATTTCCTCTGGCAAAATACTGAGGACTTATCACTTGTCAGTACTGTGCTAGAAACTGGGGGAAAAAAATAAATGAGACACAGTTCTTGTCTTAAGGTAGCTAATTGTCTAGTAGGGCAAAATTCAACTTTATAGGAAGGTTAGGTGAAAAACAACTTCACAAAAGATGAGTCCTGAAGGAAGATGTACTGGTTATCTATTGCTGCATAACAAATTACCCCAAACCTCAGCAGCTTAAAATAACTAACGTTTATTATCTCAGAATCCAGAAGGGGATTAGCTGGGTGGTTCTGGCTCAAAAAGGTCTCTCACAAGGTTGCACTTAAGCTGTTTGCTGAGGACGGAGTCATCTCAAGGGGGCCGAAGGATTTGTTTTCAAGTTCACTCACATGGTTGTTGGCAGACCTCAGTTCCTTGTTAGCTGTTAGCCAGAGATTTCATTTCCTTACCACGTAGGCTTCTCCATAGGCTGCCTGAGTGTCCTGGTGACATAGCAGCTGGCTTTCCCCAGATTGAGTGATCCAAGAGAGCGTGTATTTGTGAGGAAGAAGTTCCAATGTCTTTTATTACCTAGTCTCAGAATCACACAATCATTCCATGTTATTCTATTCATTAGAAACCTCCATTCCAAACACCACTGCTGTTGAGTCAGAACTCATAGAGACCCTATAGGACAGAGCAGAACTGCCCCACAGGGTTTCCAAGGCTGTCACCTTTACAGAGGCAGACTGTCACATCTTTCTCCTGCATAGTAGCTGGTGGCTTCAAATGGCCAACTGTTTGGTTAGCAGCCAAGCACTTAACTACTGCACCACCAGGGCTCCGTCATTAGAAGCAAGTCATAAAGTCCAACTCACACTTAGAGGGAGGTGAATTAAGATACATGTCTTGAAGAGAGAAGTATCAAACAATTTTTGGATATATTTTTTAAAACATTACAGAAGACTACAAAGAAATTTGTTAAGACATTTTGAGGGGAGAAATAGGTCACTGAAGGCAGACAGAACACTGCAAAGACATGACGTATGAAACAGCATGGAGTATTGGGATACAACCACAAGCAGTACCTTAGGTTGCAAATCTAGGAAGGTGCTAGATCATGAAAGGCTTTATACCTAGCAGTTTGGGCTTTTATCCTGTAGGTGATGAGCCATCGTTAAAAATTTTATGCAGTGGAGTCTCCTAAGATGTGCACTGTAGAAAAATCAATTAAAAAACTCTTTCGAAAGTCCAGATAAAGGATTATGAGGGTATGATTAGAAGAATGCCTGAAGGAATGGAAAGGGAAGGATGGATTCTAGACATATTCAGAAGATAAAATGTATAGGGAAAATGTGATTGGACATGGGGTGTAGAGAAGAAGATAAAAGATTTTGGGCAGGTATGGGCAACTGGGTACGTGGTGCTATTTCTCAGAATTATCAACTTATTTTTTTAAAGATAAAGGTAAGCTCTTTGTAAGTTTTATAAAACATTTTTATTCTATGTAAATTAAAAAATATATGAATATATTAAAAACAATGAAATAAAAATGAACTATAATAGCTCCCTCTGCAAGGCTGAATTAATACCTTCTGCATATCCTGTTAGACTGTCCTTGTGAGACTTAACCATTTGTACAAAATTGGAATTATACTTTAAAACTTTTTCTTTGTACTTAACAATGTATCATGTCAATAAAAATTCTTCTACGCCATTTTTAATGGCTGAGTACTGTTCTATGATATGGATATAGCTTAATTTAACCAATATCTTAATAAACAATGCAGTAATGGATATTCTTGCAATCAAACTGTTACACACATCCTTTTTTCCTTATGATACATTTCTAGAAGAGGAACTGATAGGTCAAATGCAGTCAAGGCTTTTGATACGTTACCAAACTAGAAATATACCAATTTATATTCTCAGCAGTATAAGAAGCTGTTTCTCTGAACTCTTACCAGTATTATGAAGAAATAATTACTTATTAAAGTAACACCTGAAGACTAACTTAATATGTAACATGTATCTCACTGATAAGTCAGGCTGACTATTAGAATTTCATTAGTATCATACAAAGTCTAAGATTCTTATATTTATTTTAGATGAGGTCCAGTGAGTTACATAACCAATCAGACCCCTATTTAGTGGGAATTTCTACCCTGGATGTTATATTGCAGTGCTCTTTCTGATTTGCCAGTCTGTGTAACCAACTAAGCTTTTTTTTTTTCTGCGATAACCACACAAGTTTCCCAGATAAGCACATAAATTTTCATTTTCAAGGGCCAGAGGCTAGGGGTATTCCATTAGTTTAGCTCTGTTTTCTCCAGTTGCTTTTTCTAGCTAGGATTTTACAAATTGTCTTGAAACAAACCTTTCAAAACATTTATTTTCAAAAAAAGTCTATCTAATCTTAATGATCTATTTCGTTCATTCATTTATTAGCTCATTCAATCAACAGCACTTATCTAATGTCTACTATGTGTGAGAGAGAAAGCAATGAACGAAACAGATGAAGTCTCTGCTGTCATGGAGCTTACATTTTAGTTAGGGTGAAGAGATACAGATAATAAACAATAAATGAACAAGGTAAATACAAATTATAAGTGCTTTGAAGAAAATGAAGGGCACTGGTGGTTCAGTGGTAGAATCCTTGCAACACACGTGGGAGACTGGTTTGATTCCCTGCCAATGTACCTTCATGGGCAGCCATGACTTGTTAGTGGAGGCTTGTGTGGTGCTATGATACTGAACAGGTTTCACTGGAGCTTCCAGACTAGGAAGAAAGACCTAGTGATCTCTGAAAATCACAATGATCCAATTCACAACCGATTAGGAAGCATTTCATTCTGCTGTGCATGGGTTTGCCCTAAGTCGAGGGCCAACTCGGATGGCAGCTAACAACATTAAGAAAATAGGGGTCATGTGATAGAGAATAAATGGGAAGGGAGTTACTTTAGGTAGGGTGGCCAGGAAAAGCCTCTCAGATATGATATTTAAGACCTGAAGAATAAGAATGAGCAAGCGCAAAGGCCCTGAGATATCATACCAATTAAGATTAGGTCTGGCTGGGAACCAAAGACCCAAATAGTGGCTTTAATAAGACAGTTTATTTTTTTCTCACATCAAAATCTGGAGGTAAGGAGTAAGGGGCTGGTATGGTGCTCCAATCCAGAAAGTCTTCAAGGATCCAGGCTCCTGCCAGTTTAAAGTTTTGCCATCTCTAAAATGGAGGAATTTGCATATGGCCTAGAGAGTCAAATGTTGTTTTATACAGGTTAAACTGGCAACCAGCATTCCAGGTCATCATGTCTGCATTCCAGGGTGCAGGATATAGGATGAGAAAAAGAAGCAAAAGACTGAAGGTGCACACCAGCTTTTAAGGGTGTTTCTGGAAAGATGTCACATAACACTTCTTTTATATCCCATTGGCCAGAACCATCAAATGGCTACAAGAGAGGCTGGAAAATATAGTCTTTATTCTGAACAGTCATGTGTCCACATCCATTACTATTAAAAAAAATGGAGAAATTTTACGGGACAACTAACAGTCTGCTACAGACTAGAAAGAACTTAGTATGTGACAAAATAGAAAGGAGGCAATAGGAAGGGTGAAAACAAGATGAAGCTGGTGAGGTTGACAGGAGCCAGATCATACAGTCTTAAAGACCATCGCAAGAAACTGGGATTTTATTCTCTGTGCATAGGGAAGCCATTGGAGGGTTTTAAACAAGGGAGTGACATAACCATATGAAATTTTTAAAATAATCACTCTGGCTATATAGAGGATGGTAGGAGGGGTATGAAGCAGTGGAAGCAGATAGTGTGGATTCTGCAGTAGTCCAGCAAGAGAACACAGTGACTTGGACAAGGTGGTAGCACTGTAGGTGGTAGGTGGCTGAATTCAGAATGTATCTGTATGACAGAGCTGATGGTACTGACTAATGAGCTGGATGTAAGTGTGAGGGAAAGACAGCAATTACAGAAGACTCCTAGTTTTATGCATGATCAAGTGGGTGAATGGTGGAACTATTTATGGAAATCAGGAAGACTAGGGGACGAATTTACACAAATTAGAGATGCCTGTCCCTTCTGTCCCTTGCCACAGTAAAATTTTCATTATTGTCCACACCTGCCACAACAACTTATATACAAACTCATTCTTTCTTTAATAAGGTATTTTTTTCTCAACCTAAGTCAGTAGTTACGGTTTCTATAAGATACCAAGTAATTTACCTTACACATATTTTGAAAATATACAAAACACATACTCAAGTATGGAGTGTTTAAAACTATCTACCAAATGGACAAATACACTTTACATTTGCAATAAAGACAAACTTGTTAATGCAATAGGACAATTCAAAAAATGCACCATTTATTGATTGCTTACTAGAAAGGGAGAAATATATTAAGCCCTTAACAAATGTTACTTAATATTTAATATCTAAAGTCATTCTCTAAGGTAGGTATAAAGCAAATTTTACAAATTTGTAATAGATTGGGCACAAGTAATAAAAACAAACCAAATCCAATTGCTGTTGAGTTGATTCCGACTCATAACGACCCTATGGACAGTGTAGAACTGCCCCATAGGGTTTCTAAGACTGTAAATCCTTACAGAAGCAGTGCGTCACGTCTTTCTCTCAAAGAACGGCTGGTGGGTTTGAACTGCTGACCTTTCAGTTAGCAACCGAGCACTTAACCACTGTGTCACCAGGACCCCTTATGGCACAACAGGATAATTAAAAACTTGTTCTTCTACAAGGCTTAAAGTAAATTCATCCTAAACAGCGTTTTCAAAAGAGCAACAAGATCAGTGTATTTTTTCCTAACACTCCTTCCCTACACATTTAACATCATGAAGACGTTTGCTGTTCTTTCTCTTTCAGTAAAGTACTCAAGGTTAACAAAATCCTCATATCAGATCTGTCCCCCTTCGAAGTGATTTCTCCAATATTCCCAATGTTTATATTATTTAAAATTTGTGCTTTTTTGAATAAGTATAGGTAGGTAGGAATAAAGTCCATCTTTTGGGCTTGAGTCCTATATATAAATCAAACAAAAAGTGAGATTAGAGTGTAAGCAATCTTTGATATACATATAAGCATGTTTGATTTTTTATTATTCCATTTTATGGCTCCAAATTATTAATGGCTATACTTTTAAATTATTAATAGATTAAAAAGCTTGGTAATGCTAAGTATTACTAAATATTATTGTACTTAGAGGTACATTTGGTCTTTTAACACACAAATCCTATCATAATAGATGCTAATAACAACAGAAGAGGAAGCAGAACAGGCAGGAAGAAAACTGTTAGGGGTAGGAGGGTGGAAGGGAACGAAGGACATAAAGAAACAAATGTTCCTCCTTGAATTTTCCTGAAGAAACAAACAAAAAAATATGATGTTTAATGAAATGAATAATTGGATAAAACATTTTCTATTGGCTACTTGGGCACCATTTGGAATTTAAATAAATTCACACTGTATCTGCTGAAAACGTCTTGCATCTGAAAACATGACAGTTATGCTTCATTTTACAGTATGCTTATTTTTCTTGCTATTTATGACTGAAATGTCTTTTGCCCTTCAGTGACAAAAACTGAATTGGATTATAGAGATTTTCTTGGGAAGAGAAAGGTGATTTTATAAAACAAACAAAAAAGAAAGTAAAAATTTTATTTACTTCAAATTAACTGTATTTTATATTTATTAATAAATTATAACACGCAAACAGGAAGAAATAACAATTCTCATGTTCTGTAACTAAACAATACCAAAACAAACACGCAGAGAATTTTTTTTCTTTTAAGTCCAAAAATGTCCAGTAATTACCAAAGGGGGAGAGTTTATCGCTATATCAAGGAATAAAGTGCGATTTGTTATTGCAAAGAAAACAAATTTAATTTCACTTTCAGCGACAACTACTTTCCAGGAAAGCAGAGACGACTCTTCTGCAATTTCCTCCAAAGCCACCATAATTATAAACGGTCTTGCTGATGGCCCAGTCACTCAAGTTTACGTGGAGGCTAGGGAGTGGGGGTGAGTGGTTGTGTGCCGTGGAGCCGATTTCGACTCATACTATGAGTGGAGGCTGGAAAAAGTGGTATAAACCTAACTCAGCTGGTGCAAGCTCACAAAATAATGCTCTTACAAACCTGCTCTCCAATATACACCCTCCCAATACGTTTTAAAAAAAATAAGGGTGGCGATTAGAAAATAGCAATGGTTTCGGCACATGGGAACTCACTTCTCCGGAGGTGACGGTGACGTGCTGCCGGTCCCTGGAAGTGCGTGCACGAACACCGGAGGTTGCAGGGGCTGAGGGAGGAAAAGGGGACAGCGGTCAGATTTGCCTCAGGTGGTGGGAGTGAGGAGGGGCCCTGCTCGAGGCGGACGTGGGAGGGCGGAGTATTGGACACAAACACAAACACGCTCCACGTCCCTGAGGGCGGACCGACGCCACCTCACCATTCCCCGCCCCTGGACCTCGCGGTCCCCCTCAGACCCAGAGCGAAACAACCGGATCCTAGGAAAGTGTTATCGGCCCCAGAGGCCCCCGCTCGCTGTAACGGCCGCGGACAAGCCTCCCTTGGAGTTAGAGGGAGACACGGTGGAGGCCGCAGTGAGGGCGATGGGGTAGTGAAGCGTCTCTCTCCACCTTCTTCCGAAAGCCGGGAAGCTGCCTACCCACCCGAACCCCGTCTGGTCGGCTATCTCAGCTCCCACCTTCCGCCGCAGCCTTGAGGCAAGCCTGAGCGACGGGGGTCACGGCGGGGGTCAGAGGGTAAAGGTCTTGCTCCCAGCAGCCTCCGCGGTGGATACGTCGCCATCTTGGATCCGCGGGACGAGAAAATTCATGCGGTGAGTTTTTGGCAAATTTTCGGAAGTCTGGCTGCGGGGCGCGCGGCAGGGGCGGCGGATTCGGGGCCCCCGCAAGCCGGGGGAATGCCTCGGGGCAGGTCCGGTCGCGTCCAGGGTCCGCGGGCAGCGCCCCGACTCGCCGCTTCCCGTTGCTTTTGTCTAGGCTCCAATCGAGAGAGGGAGAGCAGAGCGGGCGGGGAGGGGGGTGGCGGCGGTGGAGGGAGGGAGGGGGTGTGTATAGGAGGTGGTGGTGGACGGGACGTAAAGCGTCGCTCTACTCAGGCCGCTGCTGCGGTAGCTCTGGAGCTTAGGGCTGGTCCCACCCGCGGGCCGCTGGGCTTTCCCCTACGCTAGGCTACCCCCGGGCTCCCGCCAGCGCGGAGGAGCCGCCGCCGCGCTGCTCCTTGGGGAAGAAGAGAAGGCGGCAGCGGCGGTGGCCGAGGAGCCCGGGCCCGTTTTAGACGGCGTTGCTGCCTTCCCAGCAGCTGCCGCTGTCTGTGGCTCTAAACATTCTCTCACTACAGGCACATCGTCCGCAACTTGTGTGTGTTTCCCTGTGTTTAAGATGGGGGACACTGGACGGACTAACGGGCCTCAGGCCTTGGGATACCAAAGGCTGTAGATGGTGGAGGGGGAAGGAGTGCAACTATGATGCCTCTGCCACGGCATTCTGAGGATGAAGCTTTCGTGGTATCGTAGGGACTGAGTCCGGACGGTCTTCTGGCGGCGAAGGAACCCGAGACGCTTCTGTCTGTGAAGTTGCTAACCCTAGGTTTACACTTCCGCCGGGGCCTGCCTCCTCCTCTAGCTGTCTTGGCTCTAACTTAAAAGTTAAACGAAAGAATGAGTAGGGATAAAGGCTCTCGTAGCTCTTAGTCGAGGCTCTCTGGGTCCAGAAGAAGGCTTCTTAACTTTCGGTGACTGTGGTCCTTAGCGAATGCGAGTTCTAGTTTTCTTTGGGGAAAGTATTTCCTAGGTTTTAGAGTATGCATTTATTTCAGGACCTGTGGGTACGGTATTTTGACACAGAAGTCTAAACGGGTGCCACCCTCTCGGAAGTAACCTAAACATCAGCTTCCTTCCAATCCTAGGAGAAGTCATCACTTTTTAACATCCAGAAAAAGGGGTGCAGCACGTTTTGTTTCATTTTTATAATTCTTGGTCAAAGGATCATACCTTATTTGTAGTCATCTAGACGGTCTCTAATCATTAGGTACAGTGGTATGAAACCTTAGATTATTGGCTAAATGGTAAAAAGTACTGAGTTAACAAAGTCTGTTCATGAGGGAATCTAGGTTTGAAATTAGAGTTCAGATTTGGACAGATTTCCTGTCATGCTTGATCTTAGGAATTTCTAGAGCTCTGGAATCATAGGTGCAACTTTTGATTTGCCTTTGAAACAACATAGGCAGAAATGAAAAAGTGTGGGATGGGGGAGGGATGGGATAGAAATTAAAAACCAACTATTTTCATGCCCGTTTTATGTTGTTTGGGAATGCTTGGTATATTTTACAACAGTTAACTCTCAGACGTCACTGAGTACATCTGTTTTGCAATTTTGGAAGGTAATTTGATCCCAGATTTAAAGGGTTGATAAAGAATCACAGTGGGCTGAAATGGTTAAATGTCTGCTACATTCAGATCTCTTTCGTTTGAAGTGTTACTTATTGGACCAACATCATTAGTAAGCTTTGTATGTTGAACTTCTCTTTAGTCTGTAGTTCTTTCGTAATACTGGATACTAAAGGAGAAGAAAACCGAAATACACTTAAAAAACAAGACAAAACTCCTTCAATTCTATCCACTTCGTACTTGACTGTGTAATATTTTCATTTAATTTTAAAACGGCATTTTTTCCTCCCTTTTTCAGGGGGCTTGCATGGCAGTAATTTCTCTAAACACTGCTATTTTAGACAGGAAATGAGAAACTTTCACATTTTTACATTCTAATTAATGTTTCAATACCAGTAATGTAAACATCATTTGTTGGTAGAATCCTTTTCTTCTAAGTATACAGTATAGAGGTATCTGTAACCTAATCTGATACTCTTGGGGAATGAGAATCGCCTACATGTTGAACCAAGCAACAGATAAAACTTTAAAAAATTTTTTAAGTTTTTATTACACTTGCATTTCAAAGTAAATTTGTATGGTGGAAAAATGAGGGTAAAATACACAAATGTGAGTGACTTATACCCCCTTTTGAGGCGCCCTGGTTGCACAGTGGTTAAGGAGCTTGACTGCTAACCAGGTTGGCAGTTCGAATCCACCACCTGCTCCTTGGAAACCCACGGGGCAGTTCTACTCTGTCCTGTAGGGTTGCTATTAATTGGAATCCAGGCAACGTTAACGGGTTTGGTTCAGTTTTTGGTTTCATTTGATTAGTACTGATGTTGAAGATAATATAAAACTCAGAATGATATGCCTCCCCAAGATAGCTAATTATTATTATAACTTTGAATGTTTAATTTGCTTTTTGATTGTTCAGAGATGCTTTACCATTAATTATAACCTGAAAATTCTCTTTTTTCAAAAGTAAACAAATACTTTAGATTTATGAGTAGATTTTACTAGAAGTGTTTCTAACCCAGTTTTTTGGTTTTTACCTCTTCAGTAGATACTGGTATTAGAAGTACTTGTATTTTGAAAGACCGTTACAGAATTTTTTTAAACTTGTGGGAAGTTATAATTTTACTGTTTTTAGGGACAAATTTGCTTCATACGATTTTTTGATAATATAAAAAAGTAAAGAAAATGATGCTCCATGTGTGTATATGAAATAGTTGATATTAATAGACTAGTAAAAATAACTCAGTTTATAATTTGTTGTTTTGCTCTTTCAAAGCAATGTTAAATGATAATAGCATTTTTTTTTCAAGTGTCTTAAAAATTTTAACTGTAGAAAGCTCATTCCGTTATGGTCACATATTTAAAAGCAGACCCTAATGATCGATCCACGTACCTGCCCTAATAGGCATTTGTGGACAGCTTATGCAAACAGTGATACAGTCTTAGGAAAAAGATACTACTAAATATTTATTATTTTGTTACCTGGACCTCCAGTGGATTTTGTAACACAAAGAAGCAAAAGAAATCAAGGTACCATATAGGAAAGTTTCACAGGCAGAGTTAATGTGAGTTGCACTGTAATATTTTAATACAATTACTGTGTTCATATTAAGGGATCTAGTGCTATGATGGAGTCATTCTGGTTGATGGTACAGGTGATTGTTTTCCTTACTAAGGATGATTTCTATCTGTGATACTTAGAAGAATTGAAATTTGTTATGACTTATACTAGATATTTTGGGAAGAGATACTAAAATTGATGTTGCGGAAAGTCTGCTGAAAGAAAGAAGTTAGGGTTCTAAATTTTTTAAATTTTATAATTTTTACTTTGGTTTTGTTCATTGAATCCTTCCTCAATACAAATATTACATAGGTTTTTTTCTGTTTGACATCCTTTGATGTCTCTTTTAAAACTTGTGTCTTAACACAAATCATGCGATATAGCTTGTTCATTTATTTATTCTGGGATGACCTAGAAATAGAATTCCTAGTATGTTTTTCTGACAGCTTGTTCTCTAAAATACAGATGCAGATCTCTAGGTATGTCACTTGTGGTATTGTGTGTTATGAAGTAATATAATGATTTACAGTGTTTATTTTTTGGTAAGACTTTTTAGCTTGTATAATATGGAAAAGCAAACAAATGAGTTTTCTAGGAAACAATCAAATTTTCCCTTCTCCGAACACTAACGTTTTGTATATGCTAGACTGAGGATGTAAGTGCGTTTAGATATAGTTAGATGTTTTGGACATGTTTGCCACTTACCCTGTAGGGTTTTCTTTTTCTTTGCATTCATGGGTATGTTTTTGCTTGTGCATGTGTGTATTTTAAATCTCTTCTCCATTGCTTGACAGACTTATTCTTCAGAGCTCAACTATGGTGTCTTATTCTTTACAAAACCTTTCTAATACCGAAAATCCTTCTCCTGTACTGCCTTTTAGTCTTAAAACTTCTGTTAGTGTATGTGTCACACTTTAATTTACTGTTCATCCCCACCTCCCACTGTAACTCCACTGGCCTGTGAGCACCTCTGAGAGGTAGGGCTCTGTCTTATTTATATTTACATTTCTAGTGCCTTGTATGAGGCCTGGTGGTACAGTGATTAAGAGGTCGGCTGCTAACCAAAAAGTCAACAGTTTGAATCTGCCAGCTGCTCCTTGGAAATCCTATGGGGGCAGTTCTGTTCTGTCCTGTAGGGACTATGAGTCAGAATTGACTCAATGGCAACGGGTTAGTGCCTTCTATGGTGCATAGTAGGTAGTAGGGTCTTAATAAATATGCATTACACTCATGCCAGATTGTTATTTGACCGTTAATGCTGTCAGAGTGTCCTGTTTCCAGTCCACAGATCAGAAGCAACAAATTGGAAAAAAAGGTAAAGAGAAGAACATCTGAGTTGCTTCACTTCTTTGAATCCTTTCCTAGAGTTTTGCCTTTGGTCTGTCAGAAGTTAGGTAGATAGCCAGCTATTTAAAGAAGCATGTGTAGAATAAGGGAAAGATATTGTGAATAAAGTGATTAATACTCTGGCAGAATCTTTAGGATTGTGTTTCTTGCTGTATTTTTGTATGCTAACGCCATGGTTGAAGGAGTTAGTTTTGTATTTTGTGTGATAATGTGTATTTAGCAGTACTTAATATAAACACCTATTAGATTTGGGCTTTTTGAAGTTAGATTCTATGTTGTTTTCACCTTTTTACTCCTAATGCCTGGCCCAGTGCCTAGTACAAAGTAGGAGTTCCTTACTTCAAATAGCATTCTTCTTAAGGAAGTTAGGTGAGATGATTTAATGTATCATAATTAATGGTCAGTTGAAAATCCAAAAAGCTTTGAAAAGTGAAAGTTTTTTTTTTTTAAAATGTGGTGGCGAAATCCAACTTCTGTTGATAGTAACTTGTTTATCATCTTTAATTCTCTCTCTTAACCTTAT